AGGAGAAATGGCGATTTTTGCCATAACTGACTGCCCAAAATCTGCTGTCGCCTGTTCTGTGTAAACTGTAAACTAGCTACGTCTTTTTTTTTTTTTTCTTCCTGTTGTAAAAACTCTCGTATTTTCACCCTTTATCTACTTCACTTACATATTTAAATTTTTTATTCTTTTTAAAAAATAAAGTACCACGTACAAAGTATTTATAGTTTTAAAAATTATTTTAAAATGATTGAAAATTTAAAATTTAAAATTTAAAATTTAAAATTTAAAATCTCAAATTTGATAAAAAGAGATTAAAAAAATTAAAAATTATGACCCTTGTTATATAGAAAATTATATGATATTTCAAGAGAAAATTTCCCCTAATATTTTTAATATTAGGCGTCATTTGATTTTTTTATTAATTTATATTTCTTTAAATAATTAACTGAATATTTAAAAATAATAATTTATAAATTAATTTTATATAAATATCAATTATTTTATTAACCACCAATTTTAGAAAACCAAACCAAATTCACATGGCAACCTAATATTTTCAGCTAATTAGTTAACCTATTTTATAAACTCTCTTATCCAAAAACTCTTAATGGGGATCCGTACCGTTCCCATCAAATCATAACTGAAGGGTCTTCATCTTTGGACCCTACCAACTGAATTCTGACAAGATATTTTTTAGTTAAAATATCAATTTAGTCCTTTAACTTTTAAAATTATATTAAAATCATCTCTTAATTTCAGAAAATATTAAAATTATTTTTAATTTTTAATTGTTGATACTAAAATAGTGCTCAAACTTTAAAGATAATATCACTTTAATTCATAAACTTTGAAGACATACAAATTTAGTTCTTAAATTTTAATTACAAATACTAATTTACTTTTTCAACTTTAAATATATATCAATATAATATGTAAATAAAATACCAACGATGTGTTGGTTTAAGTGTAAAAAACTTAGTTCTTTTTAGATAAAATTTTGAATTTAAGTCTTGTGAATGGATAAATAAGTATTGAAGAGCTTCTCTTATTACGAGGTATGACTTGATTCGAATATAAATTAATTAAGATCTAATATGATTTCTTAATACTCAAAGGTTAGCACTAAAAAACTATATAAATAAAAATATATCACGATGGTAAAATGTAACTGTTTAATTTTACATATCATTAGTATTTAAAAAAAAGACTAATTTTGTGACAAAAGAACTAATTTTGTAACAAAATAATAAGTTATATGATACTTACTAATGAAAGGACTCTTTTGAAATTAAAAATTAAAATTTAAGGATAATTTTGATATTTTTTTAAGTTAAAGGACAAATTTGGTATAAATTTGAAAGTTGAGAGACCAAATTGACAGTTTAACATATTTTTATTAGGGTTTTAATATTAATATTAATTGTTACTTAATATATTAAGCATTTATTAAAGATATTATTTTAATATTAATTGTTATTAAAAAATAAAAATTAATTTTTATTTAATTAATTATTTAATAAAAAATAATTTATGTGACATAAGTGATAAAATTAATATTAAAATTTATCATTTTTAACATTAATTAATGTTAAATATATATATATATTATTTTTTAACTTTTATATTAAAAAAGATATAAATTAAAAAAAAATTTGATATTATTTAAAAAAAAAAAAAAAACCCGTAATCATATGAAACTACCGAATACAGTTTGTAGGGTAAGGACAGTTTTTGTTTCTGGGTGGGTGTCCTTGGTTTGAACACAGACCCTACCATGAACATGGTGCGATAAAGATAAAAAGATAAGGTGAAAGGTTTAGGGTCCCATTGAATCAACAAAACTTCAAAAGGTAAGGTCCAAAATGGGGTTCTAGTACAGAAGTAACGGCCTGCTAAGGAAATGGGGTGGAGGGCCAGCAGAGGTCCTTATTATCCACTAAGGCAATCGTGGCAGTAAAAGGTTGGAACTTGAATCTTTGAACCCCACCTGGTACTCTTGATTGTTCCACGTGCCATCCATCTGTCTGTCTGTCTGTCTTCCCGGCGGACCAGAAAAACGGAAAAACTTACCATTTTGTCACAGATGGTCGGCGATTACTCCGAAACCCAAACCAACCGCCCTTTCTTCTTTTCATTATTATTATTATTATTATTATTATTATTATTATAACTTATAAGTGGTGTGCTGGTGAGGACGGTTTCGTTTTTCTTCTACACTTTGAACAAAGCGCAACCTTCACGTGTCTTTCCTCTCCTTTTTTCTCCTTTCTGTTGCGTTTCCGTTTTTATCTTCTCTTCCCTTTTCTTTTCTTCTCTGTTTGTTTGAATATAAGTACGGGAAAACGTATTTTATAATCTCACTTTGTTGGAGGTTCTGCTGAGAGAGATCGTTGCGGATTGAGGAGGAGAGAAACAGGGGAATTGGGGAGATAATGGAAGGGAAGAAAGAAGTGGGATCGTCTTCTTCGTCTTCTCTAGCCTCCGAGCTTTTCGGTTCAAAGGAGTCACCTTCGTCTTCAAGTGGGATTTTTGGCTCTATATTTGCGCCTCGTGGGTCTAAGGTATATATATATTTTTTTCCTTTTTGTGTTTCAGTGAAATCCTCTGTTAGTATCGTTTTGAATCTTTAGAATTTAGATCATTTGGAATGCCCTTTGTTTTGTTTATTTCAATCTAGTCATGGGGTTCTCGGTTTACGCTGAATGGAGTTTCAAGGTTGAATCTTTTTTGAAATTTCCGGTTGGGTAGTTTGAGATTGCTGTTTAAAAGTCACTGTTTTGGTTTGGAATTCTGCCTTTGAATTGCTTTCTTGAGCTTTACGGGATTGTTTTAGCACTAATGAGCAATGAATAAAGATGGGTTTTTTTAAAATTAAGAAATGAGGAGAAGGATTGGACCAAGACTGTCAATGAGAGCTTCTCTGAAAGCACAGAACTTGACATCTTGTTGTTCATGGTTTCATGTGTTTGGTGAGACCTATGCCCTGTTCTTTCTGAAAATGAATATTCATTGAATGGAATGGAGTTCCTTTTTGAAGACTTTCTGCTTTTGGTTTTTATATTTATGTCAATTGTTTTAGAAGTTCAAGAAGCCTCCCTGTTTTTTCATTTTTCTCAAGATCTGATATTTTTGTCTTGGTGTTGTTTAGGTGTTAGGAAGGGAGTCTCTACGTCCTGATGGAATGGCTAACAAGCAGTACCAACCAAATGAGGCCTGGAACACAAAACCTGGATCTTATGGTATTTGCATCTCTCTATTTCAATCAATATTTGCTTCTGATTGATTTGCTTTGAATATTCTTTAGATTACAGCAAACTTGATAATTCAGTTGTGTTATTTTCCCTTTGTGTTGGAATTTCTCTTGCTATGAGAGCTCTAGCTTTGGTAAGGGCTTCTATTGCTTTCAGACTTTGTGTTGTAATTGATTTGACACTGTTTTGGTTATATGAAGAATCTTTGATTATATATATGCATTTGGCATATATGACTAAAGGCCTTTTCAAAGGGATAAACGAAAAGAATTTGGATCTTTTGTTAGCTTCTAGTTTTTGTTTTGTTTCTTCCATAACTAGTTCAGCTAAGACAGTAGGGCAATTTCTCTTGATGTTGCATCTATTGGAACCTTTCTTTTCAGGTGACACCTCTAAGGGACATGAAGGTGAAAATCAGACTACCCAAAAAGTACAACCGTATGGTCCATGTCATCTTAGTTCCTCAATCTACTATGGTGGCCCAGATGTAGTCTCTCATCCACCGAGTACTCAGGCCTCAGGAGTAAACTCTATGGTGAGTGCATCAAGTATTGGTAATTATCCTAATTGATTTAGCGTTTGGAATTCAGCACAATAATTTAGAATACCCTATTCATTTTTTGGGTTTAAAGAGTTCTTTTATTGGGATTCCCCTAACCAATTTTTTGAAATGTTTAGTACAAGAAGGATGGTGGAGAAGATGACTCAGGGAGTGCATCAAGAGGAAACTGGTGGAAAGGTATGATTCTATCATAACATATAATTGTCCAATGGGTACCTCGACAGGCAAAGTTAAAAAGGTTATCTGCCTTGGTGCTAACATGGTTGTTGTCTCATTTCTTCTGCAGGGTCTCTCTATTATTAAGACGTCACCTGCCATGGCATATAGTAATAAGGTCTTTTACTATTTTATCATTTTATGTTCGAGATGTTCTGGGAATTATAAATGGATCTTATTTGCTGTGAATTAACTTGGTTTGCATTTTAATATCTGTTCCTCTTTTTTAAGGATCACTTCTAATATCGGATCAATCATTAAACCTGAATGTACAGAATCATTAAACCTGAATGTACAGCATCATCAAGGTTAATCCTTCACAGATCATATGTTGTTATTGCAATTGAAAATTTTGAAAATATAGTAAAAAAATAAGGAAGCATAATTGAAAAGTTAACTGCATCACTTTCTTCTTTCATTTTTATTTTTATTTTTACATTTGCTTCTTCTTAAACTTTAATTAATTTCTATTATATGCTTTGCAGGCATATAAGGAGATAGAATAGCTGTTAAATCTATCTTTCTCACACAGGGAGATAGATCATAGTAGTCAGATCCTTGCTGTCAGCTGTATGGCCTTTATTGCTTCCTCCAGCTGATCGACTGAATCCTTTATTTGCTTTCCCTTCTTTTTCACTTTAAAGGACCATGAAATGCAGTCATCTTGATGTAAAGAATGTTTGGTGTAGTGACTTACTCACCTATGGTTTGGATTTTGGAGTTTTAATATGAAGTCTTTAGGTTTCTTTTTGCTGTTTCCTTCTCTGTTTAGCCTCTACACTATAGTTTGTGTATGATATTGTAGACATCGTATTACCTTGTTGAATTCTGCCTAAACCATAGACTTCATACCCAGAATTCGTGCTAAAAAAGCTGAGTTCGTTTTCAGTTATTAAAAATTCTCTTATTTATTAGTCAAGTTTTGTTCTGTTGGTCGGTAGGTCTTCATCTTGTCGATAGATTCTTCTCCTGATTTCCAACCACAGCAGAAAAGGAAGATTATGCAGATATTTTCTTCTTCATTTACCTTATTTCATATCCACATTGGAAAAAGTTTTTAATCTTCTTCTAATTAACTTTATGTCATTGTAATCAAGTCAAACTCTTAATCTGATGGTAAGAACTCCACTTTCCTATCTCATAATCCAGGTTTCCTGAATGCATGCCACGCACCATGAAAGCTTCAAAGGGAGTGGCCCCGGCAAGGCACAATTATCTTGCTTATTTGTCTCCAACCGTCTTTTTCTTATCCAAATTTGCGACCTACAGATTAAATCAGTCTATATCTTCAATTATTGGGGCAATTCTAGCTTTAGAATGGTCGTTGGTAGTTAATGATGACACATATTCTTCAGTTACAGTTCCCCCGACGTTGATTTTTGATGTTGTATAACTAATGTTTGTCCCAAAGTTCATATCCGTTTTTTGAGTCTTGTTCTTTTCAGCATGTTAATAGGCACTATAATCAGTTAGCTCATCAACTAGCCCAGTTAGCATCCCCTCCACCACCTTGGGAAGGAGTCTGGTTTGGTGCACTCCCATCTGTTTTATGTGACGGCTGATTATTCTAATATATGAGTATATCTCTTTTTCATGTAAAAAAAAAGGGTACGTTTCCCATCAACAAGAACTAAGTCGAGTTGGTGATTGGTACCACCAACTTTAAAACTTTAGTTTGAAATCGAGGTTAGGTTTCAAACCTTTACTAACTAACTTCCAACGCATGAAAAAGATATTATTTAAGAGAACTAGAAACCCATTATTTAGGAGAACAAGTGATTTTATTCAAGATGGGTACATACACAAAGCAGCTAGCTTTTATTCAGTGAAAAGCTAGCTTAAGCTATAGATAGCAACCAGTAGGCCAGTGAGAACTGGCATTTTCCACAGCAAGAATCCACGGTTTTCCCTTCAAGGAAATGTGTAAGTTGCAAAATTAAACAAAAAAAAAGATATTGGAAACAATAGTCAAGTTTAAGGAAAAGAATAGACACATTAAGCATTATAGTTGATTAATTAATGAAAATGATGACTTACGTCCACACTTGTGCCCCACCGGACGATTGGCAATGTTGCAGCGCCTAGAGATTGTCATGGCAATTTCTGGCTTGACTCCTGAGGCTTTAGCAGTGTTGGAGAGCATGACGGCACAGAGGTAGCTGGGGTTCTGTCGTATCCTCTTCACCTGTGCACAGCAGCATTCTCATCCTCTGCAGCCTCTGCACAAGGAACCAGCTTCATTGCCTCCTCTTCTGGAGAGGTCTTCCCACATTGCCCTGCTGCATCAACCCTTTCCAGGCCCCAAATGCTGGTGTCCACCACAAGCCCCAGAAGGAAGATGAATTTCAGTGGAGCTGCCATATCTGTCTCTGTTACTTACAATGCAAGAAATATGAACACTCACTATTCTGATCCTTGAATGCTGCATCGAAAGGGTGTTTCTTTTTCTTTTTCTTTTTCTTTTTTAGTGCAATAAAAGGTGAATCCACCCACTACCCACTAATGGTAACGGAATTGGCACTAGAAGAAGAGAATTTTATTTTTGGAGTGAGGTTTATCATGTTCCTTGTTTAGTGCGAGAAAACAATGTCACTTCCTGTTGTGTTTTTCCAGATGTTATAATCTTAATGAGATTGCGCAACCTCAAAAACTTGCAATATGGTGCAACAACAGGGTTAATTTCTAGAATTTAATTCCATCAACAGAAAAATGACTACAGAAATAAAAACAGAGTGCCCCCACCAATCAAGCGTTTTGTGGATATGTGTAGCCAACTTTGATCCAACTAATAACATAAAACTACTTCAAAGAAGTATCCATCACCTATATTGGCGTTTCAAAGAAGGCTCCAACTAATATAGAATGATTTAACATGAAGCATAATCTCAAGTCAAGTTTGCTTAATCTGTATGTAACCCATCAAAACATTGTAGACAAAAAAACTCTATTCAGAATGTCAATCATATTCCTAAGTTTTATTCACAATACATCCTGCCAGGAACACATTTGATACGATAAGTGTCATCAATGGAAGCATGAAACTCAAGTCATTATCATTACAGACATTTTTCTAGGATTATGTTTAGAATATCAAAATGAACATCTTCTTGTTTCTTATATTTAGATATTAAGCACTAACATCTCAGAGAACTGGTTCGTGGGGTCAAAACTCATGGCCCATTCTCCGCCAGCATTTCTTGTTTTGGTGGGCTTGCCACTTCTTTTACATATTCAGGAGATGGTGATGCATCTTCAGTTATGCTGGAGACTGAATCTGTTCCCTCATTTGAATTACCGTAGCCTTTCCCTTTAACATCAATACTAAGATAATCTGTCAAGATCTTTTTTGCACCTATGCCACGGTTAGGAATTTTGCCACTAGCAATGAAAGGCGATCTTTCACCCTTTGCAGGGCTAACTAGATGTGCAGGTGAAAAGCTTGGGGTGGCAAAAGCAGTTTTATAAGGGGTGCTTGGGACAGCCACTGAGTATGGAATTGAAACACTTTTCCGAGCAAGTGTCCCAACTCTGGACAAAGATGAGAATGGATCTGAATGCTTGGTAAGGTCGTCCACATATAGTAGATCATCTATACGTGCCACAAGGTTAAATGCCAGGCTCTCCAAAACTCTTGAGTAGCTTTCCAAAATGGATTTCCCAACATCCTGAATGGAACAATTAAGCTTTATTGTTTAGTTTGACTTAAGCATTTAAATGCATTAATAACAAACAAGATGCCAAAAGTAAATAAGAACCCTGAAGTTAGAACAACAGATGCAAACCTTGTTGTACTGGATTTTGCTCATATCAAGTGCAGTCTGAGAGAGACCAGGGAATCGCTGCTTCAAGGAAAACAAGAGACTTTCCGCTCGATCTGCAAGCAATTCTCTCTTTTCTGCATCAACCATGAGCTCTTTCACCAGGTCCCATGATGACTTTGAACTAGTCCTGTTTGTGTTAATAGGCTTAGAGTTGGTCCTTTTATGCCACACATAAATTGAGGCCTCCACTCGGTTGGCAATCTCTATAGCTTGGTGCTCAGAGGTCAAATCAAGGCAATCAAGAAGACACTCTGGTGAAAACTGGTCTGATGAAATGTACCGATAAATAAAATCTCCTAAGCTTGCTCTTGCATTCTGAAATGAAGAGTATGTTCAACAACTAGATTTTACTAGAACTCAAAAAACCAAAATTATTCTCACTGTGTCTTAGTCTTACCTTTGGAAGAGATTCCAAATATGAGTCAGGGACTTCCATATCAGCCAGAGTAATGCTGTTAATAGCCATGGCTGCCTTTAATATTTGGTTTGTGCAATCACGTTTATGCTGCAATTGCTTTCTTGAATTTTCATGGAGGCCTCCTGGAGGCACTCTAGGCACAGGAAGCCACCATTTTTCCTCCTGACGCTGAAGGGTTCTACGGAAAGAGGATGATCCGTCTGTCTCTGGGGCTAGAATGCCTTGATCAACATACCAGAACTCTGCATCAACAAAACTATCTAATATCTCCTGTAAAAATAATTATGTTATATTAGAATAACCCCATGGAAGAGGAAGCATTTTTTGATGTAGCAAGTGATGGTGGATCTTACAAGAAGCATGTTATCTAATTTCCGTAATGCCGGGAGATTGATGTAAAGATCTGATCGAGGTCTGCAAGTCATGACCTGAATCATAGCAGGGAAGAAACACCAGAAACTGCTTAGTTAAGGTACTGATACATTTAGTCAACATATTAATAAAACTTGTCCTTTCACGAATGTCTTGGTGATTACATTAGTTGCCTGAGCTGAATTCAAACACAGATGACAAATATTGCTCTAGATACCTTGCATAGCATTTCAAACCACAAATCCATACATGGATTAATGGTACAGAACTAGTTCCCTTGAATTTGTAAACTGCCCTGGAATAACATTTTCACATCCTAATCCCTAGGAGATGTTTGCTAACTTATACCTAAGTTACTGGCTATGACATTCCACATACAATTAAGGCCAAGTCTATTTTTGAGCTATGAAATTTAGGCTAAGGTGCTAAGCTGTTTCCTCAAAAGAAAATGTCTAAACTGGCGAAGCAGATTTGCTTCTAGCTGGATATTCAAACTTGGCTTTTAGCTATCATTTTTGCAAGGGATTCTATGTTATGATACTAAGAAACAATTACAGCAAACAATATATTGTTTATTTTAGGGATTAAAAGGGCAATTTAGAAAAGGGGAAGATTATATTGTTACCTCTAGCTTGCTTCCATCAGGAAATGTCTGCCACGAGGGTATCAGCTCAACAATGTGATCACTAACAGAAAGAAGCCATTCCATCTCTCTTCGCCACATTGCTTTCTTCTCTGGAGGCACAGGTTCTAGCCTCCAAACTTGCCCAAATAAAGTGGCTATGAAATTGAGATGGTGAAAGAGAAGTTGCCGTCAAAATCAAAGCCAATGCCAAACATAGGAGACCCAAATAAAGAAATCAAATTGATAAGGACATTAACTTGGAAACAAATGAGCAACATACCACAAAGATTAGTAATAGCATTTGAAATGGCCAAGGCTGTGCAAACCCCATTTCCACATCCTGACATATCTTCTCCAAGCAGCAATTTTGCAAACCTTTCCTTCATCAATTCGATCTCTATAGCCGCATAAACACAATCAATCAATAAACATAATTAAAAAAAAAAAAAAAAAAAATCAAGAGAAAGTTACAGAGACACAAGAAAGAGTCAACAATACCTGAAATTGTGGAGCTTTGTTTCTCTAATTTCCTATCATCTGTAAGGGGTTTGCTTCCATTTCCACTGCAATTAGGACTGCTACATTCTTGTGCCTCAGCTTTCCCCCGGACAGACCAAGCCACTGAAGGTGGTGAATTGGACACCTCAGAGCTGCTACGACTCTGCTCCTCCTCATGCCCAGTTGCCTCAGAAGTCAAGAACTCCGAGCTTGAACTGCTTTCACGACCCTTCTCTTCAAGCAACGCAGCAAATGTCTCCATTCGACCTCCATTCTCACCAGACCCTTCATTTTTCTCCTCAAAGCCTTCACTTTTCTCAATCAAATCCTCCATTTCAACTTTCTCTTCTTCAAAAAACCCAGGTGAAGCACAAAAAACAGAGTTGTTCACTACAATCCCAGAATACTCCAACCTCCTGAAACAAACCCCATTTGCCAACCGACTTCTATAGCACAGTCTCCTAACAGATTTGGAAACCCAGAAACTAAATAAAGATAATAGGTTGGGATTATGTTCACCTTTTAGCTTCACAAGTGGCACACAAAGTTTGAGCTGGTAATGCTGTTGCTGTTGGCTTCCTTCTCTTTCTTCTTGGTGGGTGGAAGTAACATCCATAAGGTTACAACCATGTCCCCTTCTGTATGGTAAAATGTTAAAAACACAAAAAAAATTTGGTGATTGCTTTTCTTGTGGGAAAATAAAAGGAAGCAACTTTGCAGTTTTTATAGGATTGGTATGAAGCAGGTCATGATTACTGAGGCTTGCTCAAACACATGAACATGGAACTTGAGAGAGACCTATGAGGAGCCTTTTTCTTCCCCTTCAAATCCTCAATATTTAAAACCTCTTAATTGTCCTTCCTCTCTTTTTCTCCCAACAGGAAGCTTTTTATTTTTCTAATCCAACTTATTACAGGAGAAGTGAAAATCACGTGTCCCACCTCTATGATTTTAATGTAAAGACATTAAGATTTTGCACAGTTATATTATAGTTATAATTATATGTAATGTAAAAATAATAAATTTATAATTATAATTTATTATTAAATAAATATAATATATCATTAAATAAATTAATATATAATATTATGAATATATTATTTATATAAAATATATTATATTATAAATTTATAATATTATATAATTTTTATTTTCTGTATCCATTTTAAACTTATTAATCCTCCATTTTGCATTTATTTTTTCATTGTCTGTGTATTTTTTTTC